GGGGGGTGAGGGGTGAGGGAGGGGGGGGGGGGGGAGAGAACGGGGCGAAAACGTTGATCTCTTTTAAAATGTTACATTCCCACGCTCACACGATCAAACTCCAAGCCTGCGAAACAGTGTGCATATTTATAAATAGGCAGGCCCACAACTTCCAGTTATAACAGACTAAAACCCAATAACAAGACCGCGTTGGCAAATGCTAAACAATTTACTCAAGGCGAGTAAAAATAAAACTTCATTTAAGAAAAGATTAGTTGTAAAAAATAGGACAGGGTGAGAGAGAGGGAATATCACTCCCAGTTCACCCCTCTTTTCCACTACCTGCCATTAAAACACTGCCCATATAGCTTTGAAGTTAACCCGCAAACAGTGATATGTATTTCGCGACCAATCAGAATAAATGATTATAAATGTGCCTAAGTTTCCATTTCGGCATAAAAAAATAACATCAATGTTTAAAAACCTACTAGCTGGGAAGCGTTTGAAAGCAATTCCAATTGTTCGAAGACCATCTCCCGCCATGGCCTCAATGACGTCCCGGGTTAAGTTATCTTGATCCTTTGGAGAGAAGGGTACTGTCTCACCAGAACCATCCAACATCCACTTACATCTGGAAAGAGAGAGAGGAACTGCTATTAATTCCCATTCAATAGATAGTGCGAGTTTTCGATGAGAATTTGACTTGCTTTCTAACGACAATTTCAGAGGCGCCCTTAGTGAACATTAAGAAGTCTCCATTGCTCTCCTTAATTACAGTGCTCATTGATTTACGGACTGAGTTGAAGGTATAGACTTTATAAAGACGTTCCTCTGGCCATTCAGATCGCATTGCTTCGTAATTTCCGCCGATTGCATTGACGAAACCCAATAGAGCACAATCAGTTTTGTTACCCACTTGTTGTGGCAAACCTCCGGCATGAGTTGGTGGCTAAAGTTATAACAAAAAAATACAAAAAACCCCGATCATGTCTACTTTAACTCCAAAGCCTACTTTCAGAGAAATTCAAGCTGGAAAACTGGATTTAAATTTGAGTACAACTATGCCGATGTGAGGGTAAAAAAGTCCCTGGGATCAAATAAGAGAACGATTTTCTATTAAAATAAGAACCAAAAGTCTTGAAATGTTCCATTTCTAAATAATAAACTAATTTGAATGTCACCCACGAAACTTGACAGATAAAGGCCAACGCTGATCTATTTACAAGAGGTTTTCAACAAGATTATATTCAATTCTATAGAACGTAATAATTTAACAGATCTAATGAATAAATAGGAGTAAAAAATACATTTTGATTTATTTACTGATTTTCCATTCAGTTTCAAATTCGGTATAGTGCCTTTTGTAATACACCCTAATGCAGTCACAAATATGTCCCACGTTAAGCAAAAGCAAAACGAATAGCAATATGAAGCTTCTTTGAAGGGAAATTCGTATTTTACTAGCCGCCTTAATCATTATTAGCTCACATGGTTTATCCTCTTGCCTTCGATGTATACTTCCTAGTGAGTCTCGAAAACGTATAACGTTTAATTTGGCAGACACGCTCCATGACTACTGTATCACTGGCGCATATAATGCTTTAATTGTTTGAGAAAATTTGCATATATTGTTTGAGCACCTAAGCATACTGCGCATAGGACTATCGACTATTGGTTTTCCACCCTCATGCCTAGAAATGTAATCTCACAACTGCAGCATTTATTGATTAACAAGGTAGTCACAATCAAAATCTATATGGGTTACATATTCTCCTGTAGGTCTTCTTTCCAAATAGGCTTGATAACTAGACACGTAATTACAAACCACCGGATTTAGACAACAACGGATTGATGTTTTGTTAATAGTAGACTGAGTGATGGCAGGACTATTAATCAGACTTTTTACGCGTTTTGTGGTGGGTCTACCTCGCTCGTGTCGAGAGCTAGACTAACTAGGCTCAACCGTGTTATTTTTCAAAGTCAACCAGAAGTCAACTAAAATCCTCTTCTCTTTTATGTCCAAAGCAAGTCAAATGTAAATCAGTTGAATCCCTTCGCCTTACCCTTCACACCTAATTTGCTACTTAGGGGAGTATGGGCAGTTGTGCTGGTGGAAATCAAGTTGAGTAAAAATTGGAGAATAAAAATTTATGAGCCTTCCTTCGACATTAAATAAGTGTCACACTTCCGAGTTGTGTATTCATGAATAATTAGTAAAGGAGGAGACTACAAGTAACCATAAGTAATAAAACTGTCCCACACCAAGAGGGGTAAGAATACTTACCAAAACTTTGGAGGTGTAGCCGCTGTTTATTGGAATGCCTTGTTTGAGGAGTTTAAAGGCCCTATCAGGGAATTCAGTTCCATTTGGAATGTTTTTGTAGTGCTTCTGACCTATGTAGCATTGGACGGCTGTCATTCGATTCGTGGTGAGTGTACCTGTCTTGTCTGAACAGATAGCTGTTGCATTGCCCATCGTCTCACAAGCGTCCAGATGGCGAACCAGGTTGTTATCCTATTTTTAGCAACGTGTTAGTTAGTCAGTCATGTAGCAAAGTAGTGGTTAGTAGTAGTAGGATGGAGGAATGACAGGGAGAAGAGAAAGAAAACTCATTATTTGCAGTAAAACTTGATCAAAAAAAACAAGTATCTCCCAGATGGCACATTAATTTATAATTTACATCATCAAAGGGATTCTAATTAATTTAAGCTAAACAAACTATACCAGGGGTAATTTCAGCATTGTTTATGAATGCCTTAATTGCCCTAGGATTACAGTTTTGAAAGGATACTTTCTTAACAAGAGAACGCGTCTTTTACTTTCTTTTTTCCGAGTCTGAACAAATGCAGTTATAGAGTGAGCATATAGGACGATTTATTATCAAAATGAGATTCTCAATGTTGACATTAGATTTAGTGCGATCCACTTCAAGGAACCTTTTGAAAAAGGAGGAGAATAAACTCCTCAAGCTGAGAGGTTAATTTCTATAATCAAAAACGTTCGAAAACCATTAATGCAAGTGCAAGGGAAAAGAAGAATTATCACAAAAACCCATGCATAGATTGATGCAAAGATTTCCAAACTCAAGGTCCCAAGCCAATTGGAGTCTAAGAAACTGTGAGCAAAGGCTCGTGTGTATTTCGGGTCACGAGTGAAATCCTCTAATACATTTGTCTGAAGACTCCATTATATGAAGGAGAAGGTGAATAAATATGTTTTTTGATCTTGACAACACACTCCCTGTATAATTGAACGCATACACACACACACACAGCCACCTAAATTCATATAATTTAGAATTGTGGTGACAAACTGACGAAGTAAATTAGCGATAATTGGAAGTAATATGCAATCGATGAAATATTGATACAAGATGAAGATAATGACACATAAAAATAATTATTTGACATTATTTGGTAATAAAAATTTAAAAAAAGATTGGCAGTTATCTCTTCGACCCCAAAAATGGAAACCAGCAATCAATCAAGCGAATTTAAGATGAGAAGATAGAAATCCAAAACCCCACAGTAAAATCAGTGCATTTAAAAAAGGAATGTTTTGAGGGGGCTCTGATGGGCATTAAGAGAACACTTCCATTATAAGTTCCAACAATAAGAGAGTATATTTGAGGAGGGAGAATGCTAGTATATTGCGTCAACTTCCAGAATAGAATGAATTACGCCATACATTCTAGCAATGTGTTTTCGGTAGAGGCCACACCAATTCCCCTACTCTTCATGAATGTTAAAAAACGCAATGGGAAGTGAAAGAAATTACCATCACAAGTTATGAACATGAGGGGGTGAGGATAATATTCATAGAGGCAGGAAGGTAAGTTGATTTAAAGATGCGATCTCAGAGCAAAACTCAAGGGAAAAAGAGAGCAAGGGGGGAGGAAATGATCAAAAATAACTCCTTACTATTATGTAAATCACGGCGACTACGGAAATTACTCCCACTCTACCCCATTGTACATGCACATAAAGTTACAATAAAGTGGATATAGTGTAAAATAACTCTCTCTCTCTCTCTCCCTCCTTCTTTCTCACTCAGCCTGCACCTGTTGCTGAGAGTAGTAAGAGCAGTGTGGCGGCTGAATCAGCAATGAGATCTCCTGCCCTCTCCATCAATTCTAATCTGATGCATTTTCTGTGGCTAAGCGATAAAGAGAGTTTGGAGCAAGCAAATTAGATTAAATAGAGTGAGCGAGAAAGGGGAGAGAGAACGGAGGTATCTCAAGAACACAGAGAGCAATCAACTTTATTACTGCATCAGGCTCCAGTTTATGAACTGAGTAGAAGGGGAAATATGCTCTGTCATTACTTTTACGCCTGCGTGACTACTTCGTTTAGGGCTCTTCAGTTACTATAAAGGCGAAGAGGTAGATAGTACAATATACGCCTCATGGAAAATGCTTTGTGCCTTTGAATGCTACTAAGTAAGTTGATATCACTTACCCATTCAATTTAAAACCTATATTGAATTATGGGCGAATTGTTTGAGCGATTAAGCGTCTTAAACATGCCTGCTTCAAAATGCATGCAAGATTGACATTTCTAAGCTGTTAAATTAAATTACTTCACCTATTTGGAACTGTGAAAATGATATTGATATATCTCATTTATATCTCACAGATCACGAAATTCCGAACTCCGAATTCTAAAATACGTGCTCATTCCAATAGATTTATCTTAGAAATGCCGTTCTACACTATTGTACTCACAGATGAAATTTTTAATCCAGATAATTCGTTTGCTTAGTATGCAATGAAACGAGAATGTTGGTTTTAAGAGTATATAAGCTTGAATGTCACTTTTAATCAGCATATAATTCTTCATACTCGTAAAAGCGATTACTACACTAATAACGAAAATCAAACGGCTGACTTTGTCATAGTAATCCTACTGTGATTTTATTCTTTTAAAAGAAACCAGAAAAAAACAAGCAAACCAAAGTGGGGTAACGCTAAAGGCACAATCAGCCCACCTCAACTCCTCAATCAGTCGGAAACATGAACTTCCCCTCCTACCACTTCTGTGCATGATGAAAAGTAAACCAGATTTTTCAGTTTTTTTTGTTATTAACAAAAACAATAAAAGAATAGGCGAGAGGGAGGGAGAGGTAGAGAAACTTACGTCCATCATCTTTCGAACGGAGTAGGCGAGAGATAGAGTGACAGCCAAAGGCAAACCCTCAGGTACAGCGACCACCAACACTGTCACACCGGTAATTATGAAACCTACTAGCCTCTTCAAATGCTTTCCCGTATGCCAGGGCTCCTTCTCAATCACAAAGGTGGTTATTGTAAATTTGAGCACGAGGATTACTACCGTGAGAATTGCGACGGCAGTTCCTGTAAAGCAGATGAAAGAGGAAAATTTCCCCAAAAATGCTCACATAAAGAGTTGATTGACCCATGTATCAACACAGTTTATCAAATAAAAATTAGAAGATTTGCATCAGACACTGTCCTTCCATTTGCATCCTATTTATAGCAAGCAAAGTCTGAATTTTAAAAGAATATTACCGAGGAGGTCAAACAAGGAGATAACTATTTATGCATTAATTTAGCGCAAGGAAAGCTTTCTTCACTTCCAAGTGTAAAGTCATTTTCTTTCGATTATCACAAGTCACTTTGCTAATAGAAAAGTTTACAAATGTTCATCATTACTTTTAGCTCATTTATTTTTATTAGCATAATTACAAAGGTTTCCATTTGAACCGGGTCTGTCTCAAATATGCCCTCAATTTTAGCCTGTCTATCAAATTATCCATCAAAAAGGCTAAAAGGACAACTTCTCACGTCTTAATGCATCTATAGGGAGTGCTGAGTTACTCAACAGAACCGACTTTTGAGTAGGTAGGAGCAGTCCTGGAATAGGTATCAAAAAAATCAGTCTTATGATTGTAAACTTAGTACTCTGCACATAGAAGCTGCGAGTTTGAGAATTTAAACGAACCTAGTAGCATTGTTATATATAGTTAAGGTTCAATCAACAGTCAACAGTAGCATAGCGGAATTCACTTGCTTTCACGCAGCATTCAAAGTGTGTTGCAGTTCACAGCAAATGAGCAGATTTACTCATACATAAGCCCAATGATTTGAAAAATTAATTTGATTTTTAATACCAGCAATAACTAATTTTAACAGAACGATATTCACAAAGAAATACACGCCCACCTATTTATTAGCTACTGGTTATGTCCCCTATTTCCTCACCGTCTTTAGGGGAAATCCCTTCAATAATAAAGAATTAAGCTAGACTTCAAATCCATAAATGTTTTTGCCACTAGATCCACATTCATAACCCGTGGACGTGTATAGTGCAACCTACGCTCCATCGTTCATTCTACTGTCCGCTTCCTGGTCAGAATCAACTAGTGTAGTTGGCCACCCACCTCGTCAGTAGGTACCACCACCAATGAACATTGATCCCGTGACCTCTGACTTTGTAAATTTGCATGTTAATCACCACGACACATCGGTACACACACATTTCAACCCCGTTAGTTACTTTTGAAGAGAAAAAATCGGATTAAATTTCTTTATCGTATCATAGCATTAATGAACGCTATAGCACTGCGCTTCATCACATAAATAAACAAAAAAAACGCGCGACCTAGAATCACATGCAAGGGGCATAATTCACTAGGGTAATGCAATTTTTAAAGCAAATTTTAAATCCAAGTGGTAGAGTATAGAGGGAGAGAGAGAGAGACAATTGCATTTAATACTCTTACCGATATAACCAATTTGAATAGCGAGTTTGGTGAGTTTGGTTTGCAGAACGGACTTCTCCTTGCGTGGCTTCGACTTCTTTTTCTTCTTTTCTTTAGCCTCATTTTCACCCCCCTTTAGGGCAATCGCTTCAGGGCTCTTTTCTAAGTCCACCTTATCCTTGGAAAACTTCTTGGAGTCCGCTAAGCAGGAGAAGAAGCAAAAAAAAGAGAGAGAGAGAGACTGTAATTGCATAATCTGCCAGCAATAACAAAAGAGATAAAGGGGAATCTATTTTTAACCTCGAAACACATTTCCTTTTTCTCCCTTCATATAATATATATATATATATATATATATATATATATATATATATATGCTCAATAGAAGTTGCCAAGAAAATTCAATCTCCACTTTTTGCCTCGCTGTCTCGCTCGCCCGCTCTCTCTCTCTCTAGTATGCAAATTAGAAAGAAAGTAGGTAAAGCAAAAATTGAAATTAACTCCCCATCAAGGCATCAGAGGCAGAGAGAGAGGAGTCAAAAAGATTATTTTCCAGGCGTTTCAAGAAAATTATCTTCCAAACAAGATGCTAACTTAAACCGTTTTAAGGCGAAATTATTTGTAAGTTTGAGTGCAATCATTGAATTTTACCCCAAAGCTCAACAGTGAATTTTTGGTTTTCATATTGGCGTCTCCCCCCCCCCCCCCCCGGCAACAGTGATTAAGCTATTTTGCTGGGTTATATTTTAAGAGACGCGGTACAAGCGGCACACGAGTCTCGCCGGCTTTCTACCCAGCCTTCTCCATATCTTTCTTCTGATCTACATTGCTCTCCCCCCGCCCCCCCGCCCCCGCCCCATCCCTCTCACTCGAATTTCAGCTGCTCTTGCACGCTATAATTTGATCCACTCCCAATTTTTGGCATATTAAATTTGATACTGTGGTTACTTATATTCGTGCTCTAGCTCATAGTGTTGCCTAATCACATAATACTCATTGATGCAGGCACGCAATTGTTTTCTTTTAATGCTTAATTACAGAGAGGCAGAACGAGTATAGACGAGGGCGTTGACAAGGGCAGTTGACGAGACGACAACATCCGGTTGTCTTAGAGTTGAATTTTTGCTAATTCCCTGTGTTTCTCTGCTTTTCTCTCCATCCTCCCTTCCTCCCCCCACCCAGAAGAGAGGGGTGGGGGGTGGGGGAACGACCTTGAAAACGATTGCTGTAGCTGATGTAGTCAAAGCCCTAAAAAACTAATAGAAGAATACGCACTGCCAACGCATTAAAAATAGAATTAAAGCTGAGTGTGGGATGTAAAAGAGATTTTAGTGAGGAAAGAAAAAGAGCGAGGGCAACTTCTCCCCTTGAAAGCCATTCCGCCCCCCCCCCTATACTCATCCGACTTCATTCATTCTCAAAATGTATTTGCAGACAAACTATGAGGATACCAAGACACCACCGTCTAAATAGAGAAGTTGATTTTAAATACGTGAGCAATCATTGTTTCCTCGATAAATAGATCACGAGGTTTGAATATCATTAGAATAAAAGATAATTCAATGAAAGCTAATCATTCTCTCAATTGAGAGAAAAGTAACTAATCATCTTAGCCCTTAACTCACGCGTTTTATTACTTAGTCATCAATGAAGTAAAGAACACTTCAACTCAAAGCTTTAATGTTTGATTCATCTGTGCGTTCAAATAACAGAGAAACCACTAAAGGACAATAAATTAGAAATAATAAAAGAACCAATTGAAGCCACCCCGGAATACACGAAGGTTGGAATGGAAATAATGTTCATACCTTTCTTGTCCTTCTTTTTCTTCTCTCCATCGTCGTCTGTAGCACCAAGAAGCGCGAAGATTATACCAGCTTGAGAATTGATACCAACTGCAGTGATGACAATACGACCGGAGCCTTCGACGACGTTTGTACCTTGGAGAAGAAGAAGGAAAGAGAAATATAACAAGTTATTTTTGCTTTGGGCTAGAAAATGAAGACTAAAATCAGCCATTATACGAAGATAAGCTCTCAAGTATACGACAGATGCCTCCAGACGTCCGCTTATTGCATACTCAATATGAAACACGTTTATCTTTTAATTTCACAATTTGCCTCAAAATAATTAAGTTTAATTGTCATTTCAAAGCAATCTTAATGCCAGAAAACGGCACAACAACTATAAATAACAATCTAAGGCATGTTAGATTGGCCGAGACTCGCAAACCTAATCTTCTGTAGGAGTTACTATTTGACTTCAAATCCTTCTAGAAACTGATGTTAGGAATTAAATAATAATCAAAGTTGACGCATTTTTCTCAAAAAAAAATATTTTACAATTTGCGAAAAGGAAGGTAAAGAATTTCACCTTGACGGCTTATCAGCTTACAAAATATGACATTCACCTATCAAAACTCAATATATAAAAAAAGATGAAGAAAGAGGTGATTACAAACTAGCAACGGAGCTAATATCGCGCCGAATAGGTCCCCTTCCGTACGGGTAATCGGTGTAGATCAATACATCTTAATAAACACAAGTGTTTTCACCAATAATTAAATTCACATCCCATTTTGTAGAGTAACTGCAAAATGCGTACACTTTCTCTCAAGTCATAAAGGACATGTTCAAGAATTGTGTTAATTTAGCCACCTATGAACACCATCGAATCAGATTTCACGGTAAAAAGTGCGAGTTTATGAGAACACGTTGTGCCAATATTTACAATTTGCATCAAATGCACAAGATGTCAATCAGCATGAAACAATAATCAACACACGAACAAGCCTAATCAGGAACCAGAAGATATGCAAACCTGTTTGTACACGCCCGAAAATGAAGACTGAGCACCATAATTCGTGTACAAACGCAGTCTTCAACGATCACATGAACAGACAGGTCTGAACATTTATGACCAAACTTTTGTTGGCTATGGCTAAGAATTTAATTAGAACAAAAAGGCAACGGCGGTAAAACTAGAAGTATTGACGTCCAAGCAGAGGAGAGAAGTGATTTACGATCATCTGCTAACGTTTATGTCGTTGTGGATATAAAAGATTGAGAGGAATAGGGGAAATAAAAAAAAAGTACCCAAGGTTTCGGTAATGAAAGCCAACACGTCTGTTGTTTACTGCCGCCAGAGGGAGGCAAAATAGGGTGAAGAAATCTTGGGATTACTCCTCGCAGAGCCGTGACGTAAAGGCTCAACGAAGAAAACTCCGTTTGAACTGCCATTGCAAGTTGTTGCCATTTCTCTCACCCCCCCCCCCCCCCCCCCTCCCCAAAATCTTCGCTTGAGGCGTAAGTGCATAAGGGGAGTTAGAAAGAAAGCTCAACAAATGGCTAACGCAAATTGATAAAGAATGTCTCTTGGTTTGACTGAGTCAACATGTCTAAGTGTCAGAAATGTTAATTGCTGTTACTAGTACCATAAATTTCAACCTTAAGGGAATTCAAGTGAAAGCAATGACGCATGAAGCTGTCAATTATATTGAATAACAAAGACTTCCAGTGCCAATTTTGATTGCTTTAAGCTTTATAAAAGACAAGGGTGATTGAAAGACCACACATAATTGTGTAATTTCGAATTAATACGAGCCCCTTTAAAGGCCTGTTGAAAACCCGACAAGAGCATGCATTCTTCTTCCTAGTTGAATAGAATAAAAAATGTCGAAACTCACAGACTAAATCACCCTACTCTTTCCCTACTGTTTTCTCTCAGCTATGCCCATGTTTTTTTACTCTTGTTCAAATGCAAAAAAAAACTATGCAGCACCTTTACAAATTAGTAAATATATTGTTATTGAGAAAACAAAATATTCACCAGAGAAAAGACAGACATCCTTGGTTTCGCTCTTTTTCACCTGATCCGATTCACCAGTGAGTGCGCTCTCATCAATCTTCAAGTCGTTGCATTGAATTAGAATACCATCGGCGGGTAAAAGGTCACCTGAGCAAAAGAGAAGAGAAAAAAGTTAAAGAGAGTCCACATTAGGAATATACATGCCACTGTGGATAATTGAATTTATTAATTTGTCACTTAACATACTGATTCCAAACAGGAGATATTTTAATAATCTCTACGCGCATAATAAGGGGCAAGAAAAGAGCTCTAAGGAGGTAATTAATAGCTTGTAGAATGATATTTTTGAGGATAAAATGTCTTTGAGAAATCGATAGTTTCCTTATTATTTACAATCAATTATTAGAAGCTAAACTTCTAGCAGTACGTGGTGCAACGTATCCTCATACGGCAAAAAAGCCAATCAACCGACAGTTGAATTCTGACTTCTAACTACCATGACTCCACTGTATGTCATTTCCGACCACTTCTACAGAACCCATCTTACCTTTTCTCTGCCTTTGTGTCTGTCTGTCTGTCATTCATCTTACCTTTTCTCTGCCTTTGTGTCTGTCTGTCTGTCTGTCTCTATTATATATGTGAATTACGCTTCTGTTCCCCCTCTCGGTTTTTTTTTCATTTTGATGTTCCTCCCCTCTGTGAAAACCGAAGTCGGCTAGAGGGCTAATGATAACTACCAAAACGCCTGCTATTTGGTATAAATAAATAAGCAATTAACAGTACAAGCTAATATGTAATGCCCCGGTGATTCGGAACCCCAGTATATTGAAGTTTTAACAATAAATAACACCTTTAAAATAGTTGATTTCACATCGGAGCATTTCTAAGTGGAGAATGATTGAAAACTAGCTGCCTTTAAAGACACCTAAATGTCAGACCGATCAAGTGTGTGCCAGGTTATCCCGCATTATAACACTTGGCAATGAGTTGTTTAAGCACAAAGATAGACTTAAAATGAATCACATTGGATTTGTGTCAAAGACGACAATGATTAATCGTAGTAAGGTGGAAAGTTTAGATTCATGATCTTCGTGATCATATTCTCCATTCCCCTTCTCCGATACTGAGCATTAAAGCCATGTCTTCACGCTTGTTTGTTACATTATCTAAACCACTGCAGGGTTTGAGTATTTCTTGCGAAAACTTGCACACATTTTTAACTACACTTTTTAAGTACTTGAAGGGAAACATTTTCACAAGAGCAGGAAAGGGTATTCTTTTCGCCCTCTATTCACAAACCATCGCTTGAGTGGGTGAGGATAAACGCGGTTAAAGTTTGCTAGTCAGCTAAAGAAGGCGACTTTTCTCTCCCCTCTGTATGCGTTTAGAAATTGGTTGCTGTGGCCAGAAAGTGGGGTGGGGGGG